TATATTTTGTATTCACTCATCTAAATTTTTTTAGATACAACAGCACACGGCGCTCTCCTGTTAGAATTCTGGAAAGGAAATATTTATTAACCAAGACAGGCTACAAATCTTTAAACATCGGCATTGCCATGACTATACCTTCTCACGTATACATTATTCTGGGAGATTCTCAAGGCAAAGAAATCTCAATTACATCAGACGTATGGAAAGACCTACTTGAACAGAAATGTCAAATCTTATCATTTTTACAAAAGGACGATAACGGAGAAACCCGTACCCCTCCGATCTACATTGGCAACATCATACTACGATTCGGAAAAATTAACAACATGTCGATTTTACGTCTCGAAACATCCAATGTCCGTTTGTCCATGTCGGAAAAAACAGTGATCACTATGTTCAATCTTGAATATTGCGTAAATCGACACGTTATGGCATTAAACACATTAACTGATAACGTAGACGCAAAATTATCGCAATTCCTCGAAATAGCAGCCACTGTCGCAGAACCTGTAAATATTCCACGCACAATTCGCAATACCGACTCATTCGATCGTAACAATATAATTGACTGCGAAATAGTTACACTATACTTTGGATTATCACATTAATTAAAAGAAAAATACCATGTAACCATTCCTCTCGACAATTAAATTAGAATAAGAGCTAAATAAATAAACCATATTTAAAAAAAAAATTGCTTTTATTTTTATTTTCAAACATATCCAATATATTGTTACGCCCGGGGCGGTGAATATCGCGTTCACGCACTCGCTCGCGTAATGTACGCGCTTCCGCACTCGCGTTCGCGCATGCGCACCGGAAGGCCGCGGGAGGAATAAAAGGAACACCAAATTAAGAAAACAAGGAACACGCTTTATTGTAATGACTGTGAACAAATAACGCAGCGAATAAATAGAGCAGAGTAAAGCACGTCCGTACGAGTCGACGGCTCGTCTCCAAATCTAATGTGTCGCTCGTTTGACAGACGACAACGCGTCGTCAGGGAAACATCTGACAGCTGGACCGGCTCGCTGGTACATCGAAC